TTTGCCAAGTAAAAAATATGGAAAAAAATGCATCCGTATTTAGACACTGTTATCATTTTGTATGTGACATCGACACGCCAGAAGCTAGGGTCCAAAAAATGAAAAATCCTGGCAATATTTTGATATATTCAGAGCACATCGATGTGAAGATTTTTTGAAAAAACTACACGACAAAAACATCTCAACTGTGTTTGTTCGGCTGCAACCCCTTGATCTTGCCATCAACAAACCTTTCATAGACTCACTGAAATCCAACTTTCAATCGTGGTACACTGACCGTATTTTGATATTCTTGATGTCAAAATCAATCTTCGTCTTTTGGAATTAAAACTATTTCATGCTAAATGGTTAGTTGAAGCTGGCTATTGAAAATTACTTGGAATTGTGTACACAGGGCTTCCAACTCGCTGGCATTACAGATCTACTGAAGCCACTTTACGAACTTATGGAACAAGTTGACAGTCACATGAATATTGCTTTTGTTCTAAAATGTCTCCTTTTTAAAACCAGAATTCAGACGAATACATAAAATTGTCATTCACTAGTTTTGTGTTAATAGTATAACATTCAGAAGGAAAATGTAATGTCTGAACTTGTTTTTCTATAAATTTGACGGTGCTGTCAAGCTGAGATGTCAAATAAGTATTTTTTCAAGTTTTTATCTACAATTTGTGTAAAAAAAATTTATTGAGGGTAAATACACTTTTAACAATGAAATAAAAACATTGAATGTTAAATTTGTTTTACACTGCTTGAATGAGGTGAATGCAAGTGTTGTGTTGTGTACATCGGCGGTAATACAAAAATACAGTGCCCCCAGTGGCAAAATTAAAATAAATAACACCTAAACGAAATTTTCAAGCATTTTCAAGCAACGAAAATAGAACTACGCAAATAATTTCCCATTCTACAGTATACTGTACATTGAATTATGATTAATTAAGAACTAAAAATCTTATTCTAGAAACACAACTGAGTCTTCGTTCAAAAAAGCAATGAAATTCTTCATATGTCCACTGTATGTAAAATAGCTGCACATACACATACTACATTACCGATATTTGTATTTCTAAAGGTAAACTATTCTTTTTATTATTAGTGTTTTTCATTCTTTCACTGAACGAATACTTAACAGTGTGTGTGGAGTGAAAGTAAGATCTTGACTTTGTTTTTATGATTAATCATAATCAAATTGGGTTCATAATATGCTGTATTCAAAAGAAATATTTAAAAAAATTAAAAAATGTTTTCGTCCAGATCACATCTTTATTGCAATAACAAACAGATTTGTCCTGGAATAATTAATTTGACACAGAATACAACAATCAGCCTTGCATATCCATTTTACAAAATCTTACTTTCACATTAAATGGAATGGAGTAAGAAAACTCTAATAACAATATAAATACCAATGAAACTAACGTACACCAATCAATGATGACACTAATACACAACAGCAGGTCAAGAACATATATATGGTAGCTCTATTGTTCTATTTAATGGCATTACGCCAGGGTCATACTGTTGCTGACTTCAGACACAAGGCTCATTAAAATGATTAGAGTATCTGCACACAAGGTGTTTTTTTCCCCCTTATTTTATCTGATGATTACCATGATCTGATCTTACCTTGTCTTCATCAAGCACCGGGCATTGATATTCTTCGTCCCAGCCTTCGTAGAGTTCTTTTTCCGCAGCCAGGTCCCCAACATTTATGTACTGCATTTCAAGCTGCTGGCCGATTTCTTGTGCAAGAGTGCTTTTACCTGTACCCGGAGTACCTGTAAAACATTAACACACAGTTAATATTAACAATCTCAAAAAAGTGAAGTAAAACAAAACAAAACAAGGGGGTAATTATAATTAATATAATAGTATTAGTACATAATAGTATTTTTCATTTAAACAACCTTCACTTTATGTGTATTATTTTTCGACTTTATACTATTTTTTTTAAAAATAGCCATGTTACCAAATATTACGCATAACATTTGGAAAATTAAGTGCTTGTAAAATTCACGCTTCTTCGAACGTAAACACACAATGACAAAATGTAAACATTGGATTTAAGGACCTGTAATAATCTCTCAATATCAACGTAACACTTTTTTTGACATCGAAACGCAGTTATGATGCAAACTATTTGATTGCTAAACAAACACAAGAAAAATGGAATATGCCATACTACAGACACTATAATAATTCTCCGTGGGCCCACGGGGTTGTTTCGATTTCGAATGTTTTTCTTCCAGATTCTATACATGGAAAATAATGAATGTATATGGGGAAATGTGAACTACCCGTGGGAAACAGCTGCTATTCGACATGGTAAAGATGTTTGTTACCAGCAACTTTGTTAAACTAGATAGTACAACCTACCTGTTACCAAAATATTGGGAGAGCTCCTCGTCTCAGCTGTGAAAGTCGCCATTTTGCTTGCATTATAAGTTGACCTTGGGGTGAGTTCAATTATGAAAGACCTAGATCGCATTATTCAGAATCCAATTTTACTGAGACCCGCTTCAGCAAAGAATTTTAAAAATAGGAAGAATGTTTTTATCGAATCTTTCAGTTATTATTTTTTTATTATTTTTTTTAATTTAATTTCGAGCAGAGGATTCTGGGATTTAAAGGGAAGCAAAATGGCGGGCATACATTTACGTGATTTATCCCGGAAGTAGTTCACACATTTTGAATGATTATCGCGCTTATTCCAAGGCTGATGTGGCCTTAAAGTTTCTCGTGATACTGTCGGTGGCAGCTGTGTATTGCACACTGCAGAAAATGGTGTCAGCGGAGCTAAGAGACCGCGTAATCGAGAGATTAAACGAAGACCCCACCGGTGCAGATATAAAGTTCAGTTTGTTTTTTGCTGCTGCCAACAATTACCGACATGACACAGTTCTCAGACCATTTCCTCCGATGTTTCTAAACGCTAATGGAGAGAAAGATTTTAGAAAATTGGTAAGTGAAATTTATCAGTTAATGACGATTGAAAAAAAATTATGCTTTTCAAGGAACATTGGAAACAAATATTTACAATCTTTATTTTTTAAATAATTATATTCCAAAAACTGGTAATTGTAAATCATTTTCTTTATAAATTTCAATATGGGTTTTCCTAGAATATTTTTAGTTGATATAATTGATATTTTCAGTCCATTCTGTATAGTCTGTATTTTGAAATTGTTTATAAACTTTGTATAAATGTTGTTTCCCTAAAAAATTTTGTGAAATTATAAATCTAGATTCAAAATACATGTACTATTGTTTATAGTACTATGAGGTTATTACGAGGATACCTCAAAGTATGCACGAAAACAGTACAGCTGAAATATCAACCGGCGCGCAGCAAAATACCCTGTAAAATACCGCAAAATTATGTCACGTTGTAACCACAGTCAGCTGGCATCAGTGTC